GCAGTTTTATCGATTCCTCATAGAAGTGGCATTGTGTATTTGTCGCTTTGGGACCAGCTTATTTCACTTAGCATAGACCCTCAAAGGTCAACCGTGTTGCACATTACAGTTTCCTTCTTTCTGGAGGCCTCCTAAGATGTTTCTCCAGTTTCCGTGGGCTTTCTCACTCGTGTGTTGTTCTGTGAGCAGCTCTGCAGTGCACACGGGGCACTAGCCTTTTAAAGACCCCCATCTCAGTTCTTCTGGACAGCACTCCGAAGCAGGCTGCTGGATCATATAGTACTTCTGGTTTTAGTATGGTTTTGTGAAGCTAGCCTCATATCTAGTCATCCTGCCTTGGGGTTGGGGGTTGGAGGCTGCAGGGCAGTGGGGCAAGGCGGAGAGGCTACAGGCCCTAATGCTTAGTCCTTCTCATCACTTGTACTTGTTTGCTCTTTGCAACTTCAGTGATTTATTAATTTTGGAAGTGACATTAAAATGGTGTTGTGTTAGCAGGAATACACGGTAGGATGGCTTTTCATTTGTTTGTTTCTCGGGAGCTGCTCTGAGGCTTCTTCCTTCATTTGGGTATCAACCACTTCAAGGGTTTTGTTTTTGTCTTGTCTCAAAAACTGTTCTAGTGCTGGGCAGTGTACCAGGCAGTGGTGGTGCATGCCTTTAATACCAGCACTTGGGAGGCAGAGGCAGGCAGATCTCTGAGTTCAAGGCCTGCCTGGTCTACAGAGTGAGTTTGAGCAGAGACAGGGCTGCTACAGAGAAACCCTGTCTCAAGAAGCCAATAACCAAAACAACAACAACAACAACAAAAAACTGTCTTGCAATCATTTTTTCCATGTGAAGTTTGAGCCTATGTATTATCTATTCTTTGCTTTATGAACAGTAGCTTTGTTTTATATTGCATTTTTTGTAATTATAGTTTTCTGTATTAATGAACACTTGATTTTATAAAATGCTACTTAAGAATTTCCAGATGCGGCCAAGTGTGGTAGTACACACCTTTAATCCAGAAGGCAGAAACAGGTGGGCTGAGTTTGAAGCCAATTTGGTCTACAAAGCGAGTTCCAGGACAGCCAGGAAACCCTGTCTTGGAAAACAAAATCAAACAAACAAAAGAATTTCCAGATGTGTCCTGTAAATGAGAGTTTTGCTTTCGATAGTCAAGTACTTCTGGGTCTCCAGCTTGTGCTGTTATTTCTCTGATATTGGTAACTTTAGCATTGGGTTTCACACAGGTGAGGCTCCTTCCTGGAGGACTGAACTCAAATTAACTAGGCTTGGTAGCAAGGACCCTTATCCACTGAGTCATCTCACTAGCTCATGGTTTTTTAAACTTTATAAAATATGAATCTGAGTCTGTTCTCTGGAAATATTTTAATAGGCCTCTTTATCTAACAAATTACTAATTTGAAACTTAAAGCCAGCTACTGCCTTGCTGACTCCAGGGAAGTAAGCTTCTAAATCTAAACAAACCATGAACCAATTGCTCAGAAACCTCACTTGTTTTCTATCTATCTGCAAGAAAAAGGATATTTTTTCTTTCTTTTATTTTTATTTATTTAATTTTTTTTGGTTTTTCGAGACAGGGTTTCTCTGTGGTTTTTTGGAGCCTGTCCTGGAACTAGCTCTTGTAGACCAGGCTGGTCTCGAACTCACAGAGATCCCTCACAGAGATCCGCCTGCCTCTGCCTCCCGAGTGCTGGGATTAAAGGCGTGCGCCACCACCGCCAGGCATGAAAAAGGATATTTTGATGGAAACTTTTGGATGTTGTCAAAGCAAACCTCCGTAATTAGTCTATATTGATGAAAATACAACTAAAAACGTGTTTTCTCCTTTCTTCCTCTGTTCTGAGACAGCATCTCACTAGTGGCCCAGGCTGGCTTTGGATTTATAATCCTCTTGCCTCAGCCTGCCAAGTGCTGGGATTAACAGATGTGTGTCATCGTACCTGACTGTTTTCTTTCTTAATGTGACTAAAAACTGTTAAATCATAATACTAGGCTTCTACTGATTTCCACAGGAAGACAATGAAGAATCGTTATGTGGAACTCTATGACCTTAATAAGGATCTGCTGAACGGATATAAGATTCGATGTAACAACCATACGGAGCTGCTAGGAAACCTAAAGGCCGTGAACCAAGCAATCCAGAGAGCAGGCCGTCTTCGTGGTGAGTCTTTCCTGGCACTGGGATTTGTCTGTGATGTTTTGAAAGATGACAATTATGGAAGATTGTGGCTCACAGTGGGTCCTAAAGCAGCCTGCTTTCAACACCCCAGAGCTGGCTGCACCTGGGTTTCTCTCACTCAGACCAAAGGCTTTAGTTTCCTCCAGACAGATTTAAAAAAGTCTTATGAAGCACGGTGGTGCATACCTTTAATCCCAATACTCGGAAGGTAGAAGCAGGCAGATTTCTTGTAAGTTTGAGTCCATCTGGTCTTAAAGTGAGTTCCAGGGCAGCCAGAGCTACTCTGTCTCAAAAAAGAAAATGAAACACAAAAGAAATAAAGCCCAGAGCTCCTTTTCTAAGATCTTGCAGTAGCTGCTAAAGTGGTGGCTCTCAACATGTGGGTGGCAACCCATATGATCCTTCACAGGGGCTGCATATAGATGTTTACATTACGATTCATAACTAGCAAAATTACAGTTATGAAATAGCAAGGAAATGATTTTATAGTTGAGGGTGACCACAACATGCATTAAAGGGTCGCAGCATTAGGAAGGTTGAGAACCACTGTTCTCAAGGAAAATTTAATGTTTATTGACGGGAGCATGCAGCCTAGTCTTGGATCAGCATAAGACTACCTATCCAGTGGGTTTCTTGGGCAAGGCACCGCGGAAACGGACTCTCACCTGGCAAGGATTGTAGTTCATGGGACATGTAGGGATTGCAAAGTTCATGTAGCTTGCAGGTTCTTTTCTCTCTCATATTGGTGATTTTTGGGCGGTTTTTAGTTTTACTTGGAATAGCTGTAATTTTCCCTGGATATTCTGTGCTTTCGCGAATATTTTCTCCTAATATTCAACAGGGAGCTAGGGCTTCCCGAATCTCTTATCTGAAATTATGAACTACAACTCCTAATCCTGGGAGCTTTTCTGACTCAACAGAGACAGGTACATATGAAAAAACAGCACTTGGAACATTAGCCATGTCTCACAGTTCTGGAAAGAAGAGGGCATGCACACACAGAATAAGGAAAAGGCCTCAGGAATACACATACTATCAACTGTTGAGAGTAAGTTCCATGGACACCAAGCACATAGAATCAATGATAGGACCTATTATTGATCCAATGGGAAAAATACAATGTGAAATATGGGATGGAGAGACCCATCTTTACCATATACAGAAGCTTATATTAGTGGAAGAAGTATGGTATAGTGAGATCAGAAAAGAGTGCCTTATCAAAGTCTGCCTTTTACAGAGAGGTTGAGACATGGGACCCTCTTGTGGAAAAGGGAACTGTATAAAAGTATATCTTTAAGACACAAAAGAATTGTTTGGATTTAAATATTGTTGTTTTTAAACCATTGTACCCATGTCTGTTACTTTTTAACTTTGTAACCCCAAGTCGCCACCTAGCTGACATAAGAGCAGGATGTGTCTGGATGGATATTTAATTAGACCTGCAAAACTGCTGAATTCTACGTCTAGAATAAGGTTATGTAGGGGGTGGGAAAGTGTGTTTGGGGAAGCATAAACGAAATCAGTGGGGGCAATAATAATAATTATGGTATATTTCTTAAAATATGATGTATTTCTTAAGCCAAAAAAGGAGCCAATAATAAAGCTGTTAATGTAACCTTGGTTAAAAAAAAAAACAAAAAACTCTAAGTATAAATAAAGACAGCTTGATCTGATATTCAGGGCCACTTGAGTGCAATCCACTGGTGGTTAGAATTTTTCCTTGTGCTGATACCTCTTCCCTGCCTCAGGACCTGAACCCCAGCCAAGGCTGAACCCCAGCAGTTTATAATCCAAGGAAGTAAATAGTCTTCAATTAGAAAAGAAAAGAAAAAGACTGAACACTAACTAGCCAAGTGTCCATTTTGGAAGTATGGAGAACAGGAAGCAGTAACCAGCCCGAGAGCTGCTGTTCTGACAGCGCTCCGGCCTCTCGAGTGGTCTTCACTGGGAGTGTGAGCACTGATTCAGCTATACACACCTGCTTGGATTCTGGCTTGAGATGCTCTCCAAGTTTGTTTTGTAATAAACTCAGTCTTTTCTAGGTTAACACATTAGTAAAATTTATGTAACTCAAGCAACTCTTTTCTACCCTAGTTTTATGCTGTCTTCAAACTGGCTTTTCATTTCTTTTCTGTTTTCTTTTTTGTTTGGTTGATACAGGATCTCACTTTGTAGCTCAGGCTGTCCTGGAACTCGCTCTGTAGACCAGACTGGCCTCAAACTCAGAGATCTGCCTGCCTCTGCCTCCCAAGTGCTAGGAGTAAAGGTGTGGGCCACTATGCCTGGCTTGGCTTTTAACTTCCCTTTTGATGTTTTTTCTTACACAGTTGGAAAGCCGAAAAACCAGGTGATCAGTGCTTGTAGGGATGCGATTCGAAGCAACAACATCAACACACTCTTCAGAATCATGCGGGTGGGGACTGCTCCTTCATAGGAGAGCAAGACCAAAGAAGGAGCTCCTGGAAATGGTTCATGTCTAGAAATCCAGGCTGATTTGCTCCAGTCACATCCTGGTGAGTCCAGGTTGCTAAGAATGAAAGCCACTATAACGTATATAACTAAACACAGCTGTTCATCTGAAAGTCAGTCTCCTTTCATTTGACATCTATAATACTTTGCTGATTTGTATGAAATAGTGTGGCTACCTTACAACATCAGGGTGTCAGAGTTTAGCTTGTTCTTTTATATAAACTTTTATCTCCTTTCTCCTTGAAATTGTAATTGAATTTTAAAATTTGAAATGGAGTATTTACTTTTTCATTAAAAATAAAAGATACTGGTCCTTGTTGATTATAAATTACCACCATAACAGAAATGCACAAAACATCTTTATTTTGTGGGGAAAAACAAAAATACAGACATTCAAAATTTTTAATCATTCAAAGATGTGTGTAAACAAATTTATATTAAGGAAAACAAGTTTGAAGGCAGTCTGCCGGCAAATCTCCAAATGCTTCACTGCCCGCTTGTGTTCATTCTAAGGACCTGAAAGAGACTTGCTTAAGGAGCACTCAGGTAACTGTTTTATTCTTGTATGCAGTGGTGGCCTTAAGTCACTCCGTCAGAGCCCTGCCTGCAAGGCTGCCTAGAACCTTGTTTTTGTCTCTTCCCACTAGGAGAAGGGGCAGAGAGCGCAGAGAGGAACCATGCTTCCTAACGCAGTGCAGGGCAGCCATGCTGGCACACTCAAAGCAACAAGGCGTTGTGGCAGGGTAGGATTTCAACTGACCTTTGTATTTTTCCACAATTTTAATTTTGTTTTAATTTCTCAAAAATGAACATGCATATTTATATAATCTGAAAAGATAGGAAGCTGTTATCTTCGGGGGAGACCCACCTTGAGGAAAAGGAGTACAAGAACTGGAAGTTCAGAGCTGGACACGGTGCTATACTTCTGTATAATCTTAGCAGATGGGGAGCTAGGGTGTGCACAGAGACCCTTCTCAAAACACCAATAAATAAGAAAACAAAGTAAAAAGGAGTTAGAGGCTCACTACTAAGGACAAAAAGAAACATGCCATTTATTGGTCACACAGAAAGTAGCATAGCTTTTACCAAGAAGAGGTATTAAGAATCCACATTGACTCTTGCCCCATGCCCAAAGCAGCAGTCAGTCAGGATCAGGAATGAAGCAGAGTCAGAGCTGAGGCAGGTTCATTATGCAGACCCGACAATGTACCTGGACAGACAAGCGGAAGCTTTCAGGCTCCCGACCTGTGCACCATGTTAAAAATACTCTATGTTCAGTAGCCTTAGCTTACGGAATAGAACGCCTTTATTTTAAACTGTAATTTTTATAACTGACTTATAACAACACTTTATACTGTATAACTGTACAAAAATATTTCCTCCAAGTTATTTTCAATTTTTTAAAAAACTTTCTGAAATTTTTATTAAAAACTAAGACACACACACTGGCTCAGGCTCACACACATACGATTGCCATCTTCATCACTGCCTTTCCCCGTGTTCTGTTCTACTGTGATCTTGAGAGGGCAGTAACATGCACAGAAACGCCAGCCCCCATAGCCACCCTTCCTCTGGAGTACCTGCAGCCACATGGGAGTTAAGGTCTCAGCAGTGCACTCTGAGCAGGTAGTATGTAATGAACAGAAAACAGCGGCCTGCATCCGCCATTCTGTGCACAGCTGCATGCGCTGTACTCATGCAGCGACAGACAGGTGGCCTGTTGTCACCATGACTGTGAGTGATCTGGCTATAGGAATCCTTCAGCTCCACTGTAGACTTATGGGCTTACTGTCATATGCCATTTATCTCAGTGAAACATCAATGATGTGGCACATGACGGATGACAAAAAGCAACTGTCATCAGAGCAGAAAGCAATCTGCAGGTTCTGTTGTTCTTGCAGGCAGGAGGCTCAGCAGAGACAGAAAGACCCTCCGGGGTTCTTTCAGTCCGGGCATCTCAGCCCAGTCTTGTAAAGGTCCTGCTGCGGCAGACCGTAGCAGATGGGGATAAAGGAGACACAGGTCTCCAGAACTGGAGAAGCTGGGTGGTGCTAAGAGGTATATGCTTTGGCTCATAGGATGCTTTCTTTAGCACTTTCCCTGGGTCTTCATGGAGTTAATCCACAAACAAAATGTTACCTAAGTTCAATCATGAGGACACATCAGAAACCAAGGGAGCTGGATGCAGTACTTACTGCTGTAATCCTGCCACGGAGGAGCCTGAGGCAGGAGGGCCTGGAGTTAAAGGTCAGCCTGGCCTGCAATGTGAGTACCTGTCTTAGAAAAATCAAACAAAACAAAGTAGAAGAAAGCAAGAATGACTGGAGGCATAGCAAGTCTGGATCGGAGTCCCAGTACCCCAAACAGGGAGGAGGGGGTGCCTTCCTTTAGTCTGCAGCGATTCAGAAAGCACAGGCTTCAAAATTAACCATTAGCAACAAAGTATGTTTAGTCCTACCTGAGCAGTACTCTGTGGTTGATGACGCTGGAGTCCAAAGCAGTGTACATGGAGAATGCCCATCACTGCCCAGCATGGGAAGACAGCCCTCAAACTCGCTCTGGATAGTCTTTCTTTCTTGTTGAAACAGGGCCTCAAACTCACAGATCTGCCTGCCTCTGCCTCCCGAGTGCCGGGATAAAGATGTGTCGGCTCTCCCCGAACTTTCTTTGATTTTGAGACAAGGTCTACTATTGCTCAGGTTGGCCTTGAGCTCACTGTGTAGATGAGGGAAGAACTCTTGATCTTCTTGCCTCTACTTCCTAAGAGCTGGGATTAAAGTTTCATGCCTCCTTAGGTTAGGTCTGGATATTCTTATCATTATTTAAAAATTACTTTTTTATGCTTAATTCAGAACACCTAAGACTTGTAAGTATCCATTAGGCTACGATGTTAAATGTGTTTTACTTAATGGAACAAAGCGAACAAACTGAGGCCCATCAATGTTAACAGATAGACGGTACTTGGGTAGAGTCTGAAGACACGAAAGAGAAGTGTGGATGAGAAATTTAAAGGCCCAGTGCTTCTCCTATTAGTAAAGTCCACACTGAAACCTGCAAGGACAGACAGAAATCGAGACAGCAGCAAACGGACCCGGGGTGGGGTGGGGACATGTTCAGTCATCGTGTGTGTGCCGCAGTGGGAAGAGCTGTGTCACAGCCCCATGGAGCAGAACAGGGAGAAGAGTGGAGGCAGAGTGAGGCTTCCTGTGACTCTGACTCGGCTTTCTAGTGCTAGTCTTTAAAAAAAGGAAAAGGCAACACAATTTACACCCGGCCCGCCAGCATTAAGGAACCCGGTCACTGGGAGGCTAGACTCACAGAAGCCACAGCTCTAGGTTTGGAAGGCAGTGGATGAGCGGTTCTTAACTGTCCTAATGCTGCAAACCCTTAAAACAGTTCCTCTCATTGTGGTGACCCCCCAGCCATAATTATTATTATTTCGTTGCTACTTCATAACTGTAGTTTTGCTACTGGAATGAATCATATAAATATCTGATATGCAGTATATCTGATATCTGACCTCTGTGAAAGAGCCAAGACCCCCAGGTTGAGAACCACTGTGGTAGACTCCTGGGAGTAAATACAGAGGGTAATAAGCAGCCTGTCCTTGTTCTCAGCCACATAATTCCCAGGGCCATGGCAGTTTTCAGCCAGACCCACGTGAGTAAACAGTCCTGAGAGCCAGGGTGGAACTCGGGCCACAGTGGGGAGCAGTGCAATTACTCAAACTGTTACAGCTCTCAGACTCAGCATGAACCAGATTACACATGCTTCTACAACCACACAGAAGAAGTGAAAAAGAAAAATCACTGGGAAGACTGTTGAACTTTGAGGACTTTGTGCTAAGTGAAGCAAGCCAATTATGAAGGGATAAATACTTTATGATTCACTTAGGAGGCAAACAGTCAAGAGAGAAGAGGCAGTAGCGAGTGAGCTGACTATTCACAAGGCACGGAATTTCACTTGGGATACGATGGCAGTGACGGATGCTCTGGAGCACTGCCAGTGTGCTCAGTTCCACTGACCTGGACATGCAAGAACTGGTGCGAGTGGTGGCTCATGCCTATGACACCAGAACTTGGAGGCTGAGGTGGAAGGGTCAGTAGTTCAGAGCTAGCCTGGGCTACATAGTAAAACCTTGTCAAAAACAAAACCCTCAAACCAAAAAATAAAAGTTATCCTGCTACATTTTATGTTACATATATTTTACCATAATAAATAAAAAGTCACCAAAGTTAGAAGTTGCTGAGGCAGTCACTATAGAACCAAAAGAACTGAGTGTGTGCATGTGTGTGTGTGTGTGTGTGTGTGAGATGGGGGTTAAAAAAACCAAGAGATAAGTACATAGCTGGAGGCTGATGTCTAGGTTGAGTTCCATAAAAGGATGACCAAGATTTGTTTTGTTTTGGGACAGGGTCTCACTGTATAGACCACACTGACCTTGGAACTGGAGGCCCCTCCTTCCTCTGCCTCCTAAGGTTGGTGTTACAGTTTGCATGCACAGCACAGCCAGTAAGGACAGCCCCTTTGAAGGATGCCCTCAGCCTGCATGCTTTCCTTCACTCCACGAGGACTCCAGGTTTCCCAGCACGATGAAGTGATGCTGGTTGGCTTTGCCCACCCCTGTTACTCATAATAGACAAAGGCGAAGTCCCAGAAACCACTTCTGTTTGGGAAGGTTTTCTTTTGCTCTAGGCTTCGGTGGTTAATGTGCTTCACAAATTTCAGAGTTTCTCTGTCTCTGTAGACCAATGCCAAAGAATTGTTTTCTGGATTCACTATGAGCAGCTGCAACGGGAAACACGAGATGTTAGAACGCAGAGCTCATTCTCAGCCCTGCAGCCATTCACGCTCATTTTCCACGGCGAGTATTTAAGCCGGGGGGTGCAGGAGTCTTTCAAAGATCCTTCATTAGGAGATGAGCTTTTCTCCGTCAAGACATTTTCCAACAGGCTCTGACTCACTAGCAACACTGAGAAAAGAGGAAAATTTGGCCTAATGCGTTTGTTCCCAACTGCCTAGAAAGATTAGTAGGCAGAAGCCTCTTAACCCACAGGTTCTCAGTAAGGTAGAACAATGCTTGGTGATTTTTCTTCCAAAGCCGAGTATGTCCTTGTAAAATTAGAGAAACTGCAAGGCAGGCCAGCATGAATTTATCAGCTAAGAGCACTCACTGAGGTTTCTTGCCAGGCATGGTGGCTCACACCTGCAATCTCAGCACTTGCTAGGTGGAGGCAGGTGTGGAAAGTATGAGGCCAGCCTGGGTGAGATAGTGAGTTCTAGGCTGGCCTGGGCCATATAGTGAGGCCTTCCGTCAAAAAAGCCAAAATCAAACCATCAGGTAAATAAAATACCAGGTGTTTTAAGAAAAGCACTTTTTCAAGCTAGGAAAGGGAACTAGCTATGAGAAGGGAGACTCTTACCTCTTCATCTTCACCCTTGGCAATGTAGGAAGTAAAGCCGCCATATTCTGGCTCCCAGCCTGACAAGGGAAAGACAAACAGCACTGAGCTCACCCTGGACAGCAAGGACTCTGGGACGTCTGTATTGGCATTTAGCATCTGCTGCTGTGGATTCCCTTTCCTTTAAACACCTCATTTCCCAGACAGCTGAACTTGGAACACAGGCTTACTTATTAACATTGAATGAGAAAATTAAAGGAATTAAATGTTAGATACGCTGATAAGGGCAATTATACTGAAAAAAAAAATATAGACCCTGCTGTTGTGGTGGAGAGCTAGGGAAATAATTAGGTATGGTCTACCTTTCCATCCCCAGACAAGAGTCTGATTTGGGGACACAAACTCATGATCCCCGGCATCCTCTAGAACTGTGCGAGCGTGCCCACAGGAAAGTGCTTATGGTTGAGTCAGCTGTCAGCTGGAGGGAGTCCCCCTGGAAGCCTGCCTGGACTAAGGAGACAGTTTATTGCCTTGCCCCTTCCTACCTTCACAGCCACAGTAGAGAAACAGGTCCAGGGCAAATTCAGTCTTGCTGTTGTCGTGGGCTAACGTGTAGTGACCAGTCTTCCAATGCCTCAGCTCCCCCTGGCACATGGGAACACCCAACTCTAAGAAAACACAAGACAACGCCGAGCACATTATTTACAACTTTAACACACACGCTTGACTGCAGGGAATACTGATTAGGGATGACAGAACAGCATGTGGAAAGCATTCCCACAGCCCTTCAGCTGCAGGCCGCCTTAAAGTCTCGCAACAGTTGGCAGTAATCAGGTCTCACTGGGTTTCACTCTCTCTCCTCTCTGGTCTCTAGTGTGGTCTCTCATCTGAAGCCTCCAGTAGCAGCTTGCAGGGGCTCCCCCTCTCCCCTACCTCCATTCCCAGAGGGCCTCACCTCTTAGGACCCAGTTTAACTCTTTCCTGCCAATCCAGTCAGCTGTCACTTTTAGCCCACCTCCATTCCTTCACCAGCTGCAGATACCTAGAAACCCTTCCCACCAGCTCCTGCCCGTGGCCACACCCTTGCCACTACACACCTTGTCTTCGTCACAGTCTCTTCTTTCTCCCCGTCAAGCCCTGCAGCAGCCTGCTTGCAGAGGCCCTTCCTCTCACTCTGTCTCCCTTCACTAATGACTCCAACTCTTGGTACAGACCCAGGGGCCTTCTAGCCCTTTCATCCTGTCTCTCCAGACTTATTCTCTGTCCTACTGCATCCTACTTGAAAGATCCCCTCATCCCACCACACCTCCAAATCCCTGGGGACCCTGACTCTTACTGCGGAGAGCACCCCTAGCTCTTTCCCACAGCTCCTCTCTTCCTTTCATCCCAGCCCATCTCTAGTCCTCTCTGCCACCCACTGACCTGCAGAAGCACTCGCTACCAGGGAACTCACAGCCACACCACACTGCTGTGGGATAATGCTCTTGTACACTGTAAAGATTTGCCACTCATATTGATTTAATAAAATGTAGATTGGCAAGGAGCCAGGCAGGAAGTATAGGCAGGACAGCCAGACTAAGAATGATGTGGGAGTGTCATATATCAATCTGTTGATTTCATTGGTTAAGCAATAAAGAAACTGCTTGGCCCTCATAGGTTAAAACATAGGTAGGTGGAGTAAACAGAACAGAATGCTGGGAGAAAGAAGCTGAGTCAGGGAGTCACCATGATTCTCCCACTCCAGGCAGACGCAGGTTAAGATCATTCCTGGTAAGCCAGCTCGTGGGCTACAGCAGATTATTAGAAATGGGCTAGTCCAGGTGCGAGAGCTAGCCTAGAAGAGGCTAGATAGAAATGGGCCAAGCGGTGTTTAAAAGAATACAGTTTCCTGCAGGGAGCCGGACAGGATCGCCATTACAAGATGGCACCGACATCCTGTCTTGTTGGAAATAAACAACTCCATATTTGGCTATGCCTTTGGGAGCTGCGTGTCCTCCGCTTCCCGCATGCGCGGTGGTTTAGAGTCCTTGGGCCTATCCTGACGCAGTCTAGTGTCAGCTGATGGTGGCAACCAATCACAGGGCGACCCGTGTGCCTACTCCCTATATAAGCAGCTGCTTTAGTGCTCTCGGGGCCCTCTCGCTTTCTGCTCTCCCTCAACCAAGGGCACTCCATTAAAGCGTGATCTGAGAAGAATCCTCGTGTGGTGGTTGTTCTTTCTTGCTGGTCGAGAAGTTCGTCGCAGTTTCCGTGTAATTATTTCGGGGCATAAGCTAAAGCTAGCCATGCAGGCGGCGGGGGTGCTGGGGACGCAGCCCCGTCGCTCCAATTATTACTACAGATGGCGCCCAGACGTGATGGACTAAATCCACTTAAAAACCTGAGAAGGTTTAAAAATAAGGGAGAGTTTAACACAGATTTTTGCTGTTTGTTGGTGGCGTGCTGTAGAGAGATTTCCTGACTCGGCAAGAGCAGCATAAAAAATGCTGTGTCATTATAAAGCGCGGCTTCCTGGGGCTCTGCTGCCAGCGTGAACTCTGGCTTTAAAGCATTTCAATGGATTTTATGGGACTGGATGTTTGTGTTCCCACTTGGGATTGGAAGGAGAGTGCTCTGAGACCGTGCTGATGGCTCAGCGCTCCCCAACTGCACCTGGGCAGACGTCTGAATCAGGCTTAGGCAGGCGGAAGGGCATGGCGTGTTTTCAGACTGCACAGTGCTCTGCGTGTCAGATTTGGCTGTAACTTGGATGAAAAGAATTTCTGTGCTGCATGCTCAGTCTCAGAATTAAAGTGCTGAGTGCTGCTCCTACCTGGCGGCCCCAGAGCTAACACAAAATGGTACGTCCTCCATTTTGAAATTTTCCTGACTCAGCAGCAGGAAAAAACTGGTTGTTTTAAAATGCTGGCTTTCTGGGCTGTACAGCCATTGTAATCTCTGTCTGGCTCCTGCGGGAGACAAGAGCTTTTGAATGGAGCATTTGGAGTAAAGTGCTTCGATTTGTTTGATGGCAACTAGACTGCTGTGTGCCTAAAAGGGGGCTCACAAGCAGCTCCGCCATGCTACTGGTGCAATGTGCAAGGATCAGAGGCACGAGCGGCTCCGCCATGTTGGACTGGGCGGGGCCAGCAGGCAGTACCTGTTTTTGACCTAGGAATGTCACAGCTTAGATTCTTAAGCACCTAGTGATTTAAAGGCGCAAATCAAAAGTGCTCCTGGATAGTAAAAAATTGCAGATTCACAATAGGACAGATTCAGACCACTAAATGAGTCACACTGTTGGATGAATGTACGTAGGCTTGAGAGAGAGAAGAAAAAGAATATAGAGAATAAAGTTAATGGTTTAAAAAAAAGGTAAAGTCTTTAAAGAGACAGAGTACAGATAGTTATAGATTAAGAGAAATAAAGAAAAATAAGCCACGTAAAAATGGAAAATTCACAGAGAGTCTGGATTCTTTGTGTCATTGTGTTTTCTTTAAATTTTTTGACTGTGAAGGAGCTAAGTACAGAGAGACATTTCATTACATGGGCTGCCAAGCTAAACCAGAATGGATATAAGGGTATTACGATTTCAAAATTTGGGTCTAAGGATATGATGCCTTGGAGAGGGTCTTCTTTTGTTTTCACAGAGGACCAGACCCTGTGGATTGCATCTATCCTGATATGGTATGATAGACCATGACCTCCCGAAAAGTTCCTGTGAATACCCTCAAAAAATTACTTCACTCAACTGCCAACTGAGATAAACCTGGCACACAGGTTACACCCTAAATGATCTGATTAACAGCGCCCCCATTCAGCAGGAAGCAGTTTGGAGAGAAAAAACTACGCCCATGTTCCCAAAATATTGTTTATAAATGTTCTTTTACATTTAAAGGGGGAAATGATATAGGTATGAATAATTTGCATTGGTGTGGATTTTAAGGTCAATTTTGTTATATGTATATGTATTTCTGATCTTGATTAAGTTATTGTGATTGTGTAGTTCATTTTTAAAATGTAATGTATAATTAGGAAATATAGTTTGCTAATGGATAATCATCAATAATAGTCAAGCTTGTAGTCATGTTAGTTAGATTTTCTAGATATATAGAGATATATTTCAGTTAAATAGGCATTCTTCATATCTTTCAAAGACTGCAGAGGGCTGGAAAGCTGGCTCAGTGGTTAAGAGCGCCGTCTGCTCTTCCAGAGGTCCTGAGTTCAATTCCCAGCAACCACATGGTGGTTCCAAACCATCTGTAATGAGATCTTGCGCCCTCCTCTGGCGTTTGGGTATACATGGAGGCAGAAAGTTGTATACATAATAAATAAATATATCTTTAAAAAAAAAAAGAAGACTGCAGAATATGGCATTTAATGTTTTAATAACTTAGGACTTTTCATGACAATGAAACACTCTGCTCCTGGCAGCACCAATCTACTTCAAGAAAAAGATGGGCATCGAAGAGGATCCTTATGGAGTTTGATAGCCATTTGGGCAAGAAACTGCTCTTGCCTGGACTGTTGCATAAACTGGACAAAGAGAACCCGCAGAGAGAGGACTGCTGAACTTGCCTAAAGGTGAGATGGTTTTTTGGGGTTCCTGACTCATGAAAGAGTCTGCGAGACATTCTGCAGGATACAGCAGAAAGTGACTGAACTGTCTTTGAAATTTCCTGCTTCATGGAAATGTTTGCTGGATACTATTGGCCTGAAGGCTGAAGATGGATGCCCCAACGGTACAAAAGAACTTTGGGTGACTGTCCAGGCAGCGAGATGTCTCTGTCATTTCTAGAGTTTTCTTATTTCTTGTTTACTTAGGTAATATTATATCCTTCTGGAGTCTTTGATGGAGTTGAAGAATGAATAGATAGTTATAGTTTTCCTTAGTTATGATAAAAGATAAAATAGATATAAATATTGTAACTGTAATTCTTGCTTGATAACTGTTTTGCTGTATGTAATTTTGCTATGTTAAAGTTAAAGCCTTCCTTTTTTTGTTTAAACTGAAAAAAGGGAAGTGATGTGGGAGTGTCATATATCAATCTGTTGATTTCATTGGTTAAGCAATAAAGAAACTGCTTGGCCCTCATAGGTTAAAACATAGGTAGGTGGAATAAACAGAACAGAATGCTGGGAGAAAGAAGCTGAGTCAGGGAGTCGCCATGATTCTCCCACTCTAGGCAGACGCAGGTTAAGATCATTCCTGGTAAGCCAGCTCGTGGGCTACAGCAGATTAGAAATGGGCTAGTCCAGGTGCGAGTGCTAACCTAGAAGAGGCTAGATAGAAATGGGCCAAGCGGTGTTTAAAAGAATACAGTTTCCGTGTAATTATTTCGGGTAAAGCTAGCCATGGGGGCGGCCGGGTGCTGGGGATGCAGCCCGCCGCTCCTATTACTACATAAGAAAATTCTGGAAAGAAGAAAGGCAGAGACACTGTTGAAGGTCAGATGCAGAGAAAGCAAGATGAGAAGGCCTTACTGAGAAAAAGTACCAAGCCCCGTGGCTAAACATAGATACGAATTATAGGTTAATTTAAGTTCTAAGAGGTAGTTAGTAATAAACCTGAACAATAGGCCAAACAGTTTATAATTAATATAAACCTCTGTGTGTTTATTTGGGACTCAATGGTTGTGGGACCAGGTGGGATAGAAACTTACATCTACAAACCATATTTTCCTAAGATCCGGAGAGGGCAACAGAAATCAAGAAATAGAATACCCATCCAACAAATACAAGACCAGATATCAACACCTAGAATCACCTCATTAACTACAGATGCCAAGACACCAGCACAAAACATTAACATGGAGAGCCGAGACAAAGTGCCTGTACCGGAACCCCGGAACCCTGCTACAGTAGGCCCTGGGAGATACAGTGCAGCTGAAGCACAGGGCAAGGGCTTCAAGACAGCAGTTATAAATACGTCCAAAGACCTTAAAGAGGACTTAAATATTTTAATGAAGTCTGAGAAAACAAAATCAATGGAGTAAAATAATGAAAACTGTTCAAAACATGAAAGTTAAAATAGAATCACCACAGAAAACCTGATCTCGGGCTGGAGAAGTGACTCAGCCGTGAAAAACTAGGCTCCCAACCAAAATACAAGAAAATTCAATGTGACAAACTGGAAATGGAAAATTTAGAAACTCAAACAAAACCCTCAGAGATAAACCTTACCAATAGAGTACAAGAAATGGAAGACTCTCTCAGGCCCCCGAAACAAGGTAAAAGAAATGGATACCTCAGTCAAAGAAAATGTTAAACTAAAAATAACAACAAGCAAAAAAAAAAAAAAATCCAAGTACAAAACAACCAAAAAATCTGGGATATTATGAAAAGATCTTATCTAAAAATCTAAAATAATAACAGAGGAAGGAGAAGAAACCCATGTCAAAGGTATAGAAAATATTTGCAACAAAATAGAAAAAAATTCTAATTTAGAAGGAAATGCCTATAAAGGTATAAGAAACATATAGAAAACCAAATAAACAGGACTGGAAAAATTTCACATCACACATAGTAATCAAAACACTAAATGTACAAAGAAAACTATTAAGAACTTCAAGAGAAAAGACCAAGCAACACATAAGGGCAGCCCCATTAGAATAACACCTGACTTGTCAATGGAGACTAAAAGCTAGAAGGGCCTGAATGGATGTTTTACAAACTCTTAGAGACCACAGATGCCAATCCAGATTACTTTACCCAGCAAAGCTATCAATCACCATAAATGGATAAAATAAAATATTCCACAATAAGACTAAATTTAAGCAGTACCTGGCTACCACAGAAGGTACCAGAAGGAAAACTTCAGTCTGAAGAGGTTAATCACATACAAGAAAACAAGGGATAAACAATCCCAGACCAGTCAATCAAAGGGAGGGGGGACCCACACCATGACAAATCAGTAACAGGAATCAATAAACACTGCTTATGGGTAACTCTTTTTTTTTTAAAAAAAAAACATAGGGGATATCTTAGTTAGGGTTTCTTTTTTTAAATATTTATTTATTTATTATGTATACAATATTCTGTCTGTGTATATGCCTGCAGGCCAGAAGAGGGCACCAGACCCCATTACAGATGGTTGTGAGCCACCATGTGGTTGCTGGGAATTGAACTCAGGACCTTTGGAAGAGCAGGCAATGCTCTTAACCTCTGAGCCATTTCTCCAGCCCTGGGTAACTCTTAATATCAATGGTCTCTATTACCCAATAAAAGACCCAGACTAACAAAATGGATGGGAAAACAGGATACACCCTTTTGCTGCATTCAAGAAACACAACACACCACCAAGGACAGACGTCACCTTAGGGCAAAGGGGTGGAAAAGGTATTTTAAGCAAATAGACTAAAGAAGAAAGCAGGTATAGCCATTTAACATCTAACAAAAGAGACTTCAAACCAAAATTGATCAAAAAAGAGCAGGAAGGACACCAGAAACTCAAAGGAAAAATCCAAAAAGAGGATGTTTATTTATGCACCAAACATAAGCATACCCAAGCTCATAAAAAAATTATTACAGGTAAAATCATATATTGATCCTCACACAGTGATAGTGTGAGACTTCAATACCCCACCCACTATTACCAATAGACAGGTCATCCAGACAAAAATTAAATATAGAAATACTAGAGTTAAATAACATTATCAAATGGACCCAGCAGATATATACAGAATATTTCACCTAAACACAAAAGAATACACCTTCTTAGCAGCTCATGGAACTTCCTCCAAAATTGGCCACATACATGGAAACAAAGTAAATCTCAAGAGATATAAGAAAATTAAAATGCCCCCCTGCATCCCATCTGACCACTGTGGATTAAAGCTGAATATCAACAATAGAAAGGGACTGGAAAGATGGCTTAGTGATTAAGAGCACTGACTGCTCTTCCAGAGCTCCTGAGTTCAATTTCCAGCAACCACATGGTGGCTCACAACCATCTATAGTGGGATTCGATGCCCTCTTCTGGCATAAAGTTGTAATGCCAATAGAGCACTCATACATAAAATAAATAAATAATCTTAAAAAAAAAACCAAAAATATACTTAGACCTTGCTTTGTAGACCAGGCTGGCCTCTGCCTTCTGAGTGCTCAGAAGAAAGGCATGTGACACCACACCTGGCTGCCTAATTTTTTTTATAAGGCCATAATTACCCTGACACCCAAGCCACACAAAGACCCAACAAAGAGAATTCCTTCTGAACAGAGATGAAAAATTACCAATAAAATACTTGTAAACTAGATCCAAGAATACATAAAAAAGATTCTCTATCATGATCAAGTAGGTTTCATCCCAGAGATGCAGGGATGGTTCAACATATGTAAATTGATAAATGTAATTTACCATATAGACAGACTGCAAGACAAAAACCACATGACCATCCCATCAGATGCAGAAAGTACCTTGGACAAACTCCCCTTTATGACAGCAGTTAGACAGATACATTAGGGATACAAGGGACATACATCAACACAATAAAGGCAATTTACAGCAGACCCAGTCAACATCAACCTAGAGAGAAACTCAAAGCATTTTCACTGAAATCAGGAACTAGACAAGGATGTCCACTCTTTCCACATCTATTCAATACAGTACTTGGAGTGTTAGCTAGCGCAGTAAGACAACTAAATGAGAGACCAAGGGCATACAAATAGGAAAAGAAGCCAAAGTATCTTTATTTGCAGATGATATGACTGTATACATAAGTGAGCCTAAAAACTGCAACAGGAAACTACTACAGGTGATAAACACCTTCAGCAAAGTAGCAGGACACAAAATTAACACACAGAAATCAGCAGTCCCCTATATACAAATGACAGACTGAGAAAAAAAATCAGGGAAACTACCTTTCACAATAGCCTTAAAATATCCTGGGAAAACTCTGAAAGACTTTTAAAATAAAAACTTTAAGACATTGAAGAAGATATCAGAAGATGAAAAGATCTCCTAGCCTCCTGGATCAGTAGGATTAATAGAGTAAAAACGGGCCATCCTACCAAAAGCAATCTACAGATTCAATGCAATACCACTATAATTCCAACACAATTCTCCACAGAATGGAAAGGGCAATTTTCAGCTTCATACAGAGACACAAAAAACCCAGGATAGCTATAATAATCCTAAATGATAAGAGACCTACCGGAAATGTCACTATCCCCAATCTCAAATTGTACTACAGAGCTATAGTGATTAAAAAAACAAAACCAAACCAATCAACCAACCAACCAAAACAAACAAACAAAAAAGCAGCCTGGTATTAGTATGAAAACAGACATGTTTGATTGTTATGTTAGGATGTATTAGGATAATGAGTCCTAATGATACTGCAGTCATTTTACTGTTGTGTTCCTTTAGCAGATACTGCTATTCCCATAGATTAGTGCCTTGCTCAGTCATCGTCAGAGAAGCTTCTTCTTGCAGTAGATGGGACTAAGAGACTAAGATTTTGGAACACTTAGTCCTAAGTGGGATGTCTTCATCAAACCCTCGGGGCCCAGGGAGCTATGCAGAAGAGAAGCTGGTACTATTGCTAAGAGCTAACGAGGATGGATGCCGCCAAACACACAAAAACAATGGCCCTAAGTGGATCCTCCAGACACAACAGGACTGAAGCACAGATGAATTCAGAGACCATGGCACTGCGTACAAAGCACTGTAGTGAGGTCGTGACGAGGACTGACCATGACCGAGCAGCCTTGGGGGAGAGTGTGACACGGAAAAGGTTCTCTGAGGAAGTGCCCCTCACTGTTCAGATCTGAATGAGAAGAAATGCAGAAAGAACACTTCCAGGAGAACAGCTAGAACACTTTCTCGGAGTCAGAATGGTAGCAGTGGGGGAGAGGAGGACCAGGGCTGGCAGTAAACACAGGATGCTGTGAAAGCCTTTAGCATTGTTTGATGGTTGTTTTCTGTGTATAGATTTGACCTCTGCCATCTCCTTAGGAGAACTCAGGATCCAGAGTGACAGTGATGTTACCCAGCTAGGAATAAATCACTTGACTGCGGAATGGTAAACATAAAGGTGAGTCCTAACGCCAGCTTACCTTTCTTTGCTTCGTCTTCCTGTGGTTCCAGGTCTGCCTGTTCACCACTCTCTAGACTGTGGCTGCCAACAGCTGCCTGATTATCCTTAGGCGCTGAGGGGCTTTGGCTAGTCCCTTCTTCGGTGCCATCAGCAGCACAGGCTACTTCCCCCTCTCCTTTGTCCTCGACCTCATCACCCTCTGATGGAGCCAAGAAGTGGAGCTTGAGGCCGGTGAAGTTGGAGAGCAACAAGAACAGGGCCTCGGAGCGGAACAGGCCCATGCACTCCTTCAGTATGTCAGGGAGACTGCTTTCCTCTGCTTTCTCATAAAACCTGAAAAGCAGCAATGGCAAGCGCCTCAGCCCCACATGTGAGATCACTCGTGCCTCCAAGCTGTCATTAGCTTTGAGCTTCTCCCTGAATGGTGGCACAACTTCTGAGCATGCTGAGACTCTGCTAGGGCCTGCTGCAGCATGTCCTGGGGAACTCAATGCTAGGGCAAGTGTCCAGTACTGGAGATGGGCTATGCAGACGGAAGAGGGAGCACTGAATACAGATATGTGATGGTGACCTCTACCTTTTGTTTGGGGGACCACGGCTACTCCATTCCACATCTCCTTTCTCCAAGGCTTCACAGACCTTGGCAAATTTCTCAGGCTGGAAAATAAGCAAATAAAGAAGTTAGCAGCTCTTCCTGTAATCCTCATTCCTCTGGCTCTGCACAGTATCAGCTGGCTGATTCCTAAGAGGTCCATTTGAATATTTCCTCTTATATACAAGATCTTTGGGGTAGCTTGAGTTAAGAGAGCTAAGTATCATCAGGCTATTCCATTAAGTGTTTGTAAATTTATTATTAAAGATTTTGAGCAAGGTGGTGGTGGCACACACCTTTAATCCCAGCACTCAGGAAACAGAGGCAGACAGATCTCTGTGAGTTCAAAGCCACCCTGGGCTATACGAAATTGATTCAGTATAAAAGAGAACCAGAACCAGGTGGTGGTGGCTCACATCTTTAATCCCAGCACTAGGGAGGTGGAGACAGCATATGGCTGGGCAGAGAGAGGAATGCAAGGTGGGAGAAGACAGGAGCTCATGGCATTCTGAGGATTCCTGGGCACAGGACTGTCCACTCGCTCTGAGGATTCGCTAGAGGTAAGAACTAGTGGCAGGCTGCTCTGTTTCTCTGATCTTTTAGTATTTACCCCTATATCTGACTCAGGGCTTTTATTATTAAGACCAATTAGAATTCACACTACAGTGTATGTGTGTGCGTGTGCATGCATGCACATGAACCATTATAGTCCTGGCTGGGCAGGAGAGATGGTTCAGTGGTTAAAAGTGCTTATTACGAAGGAACCCCCACCTTCAGTTCCAGGGGATCTGATGCCCTCTTCTGGCCTCCTTGAGCACCAACATGCACGTGTGCATACATACATGGCAATAAAACAAAATAATAAACAAACAAAACTTAAAAATGTATGTTGTGTCCTGGGGATGTCACATACCCATACCTGACAGCAATACTTATTACTGTAATTTGTACATTTGATTTGAAGAGAATTACATAAACATTTGAACAAGAAGGAAAACAACTCTCGGTCAGTTTTAGCAGGATGACGCCTCAACAACACACATAAAACAGGCTATGGCGGCATACCTTAAGAAACTCCTTCAGGAGGATTTCAGACCTTTCCTCAAACTCTTCTTGGATTTGCATTTGATAATCCATTTCCAGATAAGCAGGGTTGATCCACTCATACAAAATTTCATGCTTATAAAAAAGCAGCAGACACACGAGATCCATTAATATCTATAGCTTCTGTGCTAACATCATTCCATAGTCCTCACTCTTTACGTTTCTCCTAGCAAGCCCAAAGTACTAGCAAACTTAGAAAAATCGAACCTAAGAAAAGTGAAAGTTCAAAGTGCAGTTTCAGCACTGAAAAGATCTAACTTTAGATCAGAAACAGGTTTGCTAGCATATACAAGGCCCTTGGCTTAATTTCTAGTACTGCAAAATACATCAGCTCACATGGTCCTCATAATAGTGAAATCAGAAAAACAACTAAGGTGCTGTAGTGCATAAAGTAAGAATCCCAATCACTTATGCTTACGTCTTGTGGGATATGAGGGTTTCGAGGGATCAGGGGCTCAAAGTAGGTGGGAGGCCTGGTTAACGGAGGACCATGAAACCAGCCACTTATGGATAAACGTGATGCTTCTTCAGACAGGACTTCAGACACCTGCAAGAGCAAGACCAGCAGCACATCAACACCAAGGATGGAGAGTGAAGACACAATCTAAGGACATTAGCTAGGTATGCAAGCAACCCAGTGAGATAGAAAGTCCAGCAGGAAGTGGACTGACATGCCTAGAGGGTGGGTAAAAATCCTTGACCCTTACTTAGTGCACTACTGAATCATCTTACAATATTTACCTGGTGAAAGGATACTGGAGATACTTCAAAGAAAACCAGTTTGTTCCACGAAGGGATAAGAGACTTGACAATCTGCTTTGGCTGCAAGTGTTCTGCATCAGAAGAGAAGACATCCATCCGTAAATGGGTTCATCATCATTACCACTGTCAGGCTGCCTCATCCTGCTCTTGACATTCTCAGATACTCCTGCTACCTGTTTTAAACTTGCTAGTCTGCTAAGTGACATGAGCTTCTATTATTGCTGAAAGCTGGATAGCGTCTCCTTTTCCTAGAGTCAAGCTATGGTAAGACACTCTAAAACCAAAGCTCTTGTCAGACAGGCTGCTGTTCACAGGCACGGCCAGGACACAGAACAAGATCTACTTCTCATCTTAATCAGCTTTGTCTCTGGAACAGGTATTTGAAATATAATTTCAAGAGGTCATTGTTAGGGCCAGCATTAATTCCACCTGTGCCAGTCACTGTGACAAATACGTGGTTTCTTTTTTCTTTTTGGTTTTGTTTGCTTGTTTGCTTTCCAGACAGGTAACTTGCTTTGTAGACCAGGGTGGCCTCAAACTCACAGGGATCTGCCTGCTTCTCCCTCCCGAGTGTTGGGTGGATGAAAGGCGTGCGCCACTACTGCCCAGCTAAATACATGGTTTCTACTCCTTTAACACACTATATATCAGAATGGTGATCCGAGGCAACGGTTGGAATTCAGGAGTGGCTACTGAAGGCAGTAAATGTGCATTTTACCATCAGTGTCGTAAAGGTCCAGGGTGCCCCCCAAGTTCCTGTCCCAGGAAGGAACCAGGTACAGAATGAAGGCAATCCGGCGCCCCTCCAGCTCATCGTCATGGCAGAGTAGAGCATCTGCAATCATTGAAAGCATAATTTAGATCACTGCACAGAGTAGCTGTTGTCTGCTTCTGCATCCAATCAGTCCCTCTGACTGTATTAACTCCAGCTTTAACTGTCTTGCAGTTTTAAAATGACACTTCTTCTCTTTTGTAAATGCAGCAATAAAACCCATCCAATATAGAAAGCTTTAAACACAACGACTACAGACAGGTCTATAATATAGTTACTAACACTTTTTCCACATATTTTTGTTATTTTTTTCCTCATGTGTATTCATGTAAAGACTTCCTTAAAATTACAAAGCGAGTATTTTTCCATATCAATTTACACCCTAGGCATCACTTTTAATGGCTGCACAGTCACTGTACTATATAGACTGTAAATTTACATTTTCCCTAATTTAATTTTAACGGCTGCACAGTCACTGTACTATATAGACTGTAAATTTACATTTAACGGCTGCACAGTCACTGTACTATATAGACTGTAAATTTACATTTAACGGCTGCACAGTCACTGTATTATATAGACTGTAAGTTTACATCTTCCCTAATTGCATTTCTATTAGTCCTTAAATTGTTTGTATTTCTTGGCTATTCCAAAGAATGTCTTAACAAATGTTACTGTTCATGGGTACATAGATCCCTTTTTTCTTTAAAAGGCCTTTTCTTATCATTTATTTACTGTGTGTGTTGGGGGTGGGAGAGGGACATGTGGACCAGAGGACAACTGTAAAGTTGGTCCTCTTCTTCCACCACGTGGGTCCCAGAAATCAAACTCACATTGTCAGGTTTGGTGGCAAGTGCCTTTAACCCACCGAACCAAGCCACCTCTCTGGCCTTGTTCCTGTTCTCATTAACTGCCTAATCGAATTTTCTAAAGCCATTTGGTAGGGCTGAGCAAGGTAAGCATCTATGCAGGATGGGACAGAGTAAAGATTATACTGAACTGGGACCATTTATACATGAAGGGATTGGAGTAAATAAGTTGAAGATAATGGGAGCTAGGTGTTACAGTTAAAGAAAAGAAATCTAGAATAAACCTTGTAGTATTCAACTAGCACTGGAGAAAGCAATATGAATCCAGTTTCCTGAATCTACAGCTATGTAGGTATAGAAATACATAAGCGTTATGTGTATACATTTGTGTGTATACGTAGAGGGTCATATTCTGGCATTTTCACTGAAAGGGTCTAGGTGACACCCCAGTGACACAGACTGAGTCCTGGCCTTGATTTTCAAGTATCATTCTTCATTAAACTGGGGTGCATTCTAGGTCATTCTAGACCTGGCATAGGAAAGAGAAGACAAGCCTTGAAAATTCTGCTTTGCAGAAATTAGGAAATCAAGAATGATAAGAACATAGTAAGAGGCCCCAGATCAGCTCTAGAGGGTTCTCCTTGACCAAATTAAAGACAACATAAGCCTCACTTTTACAACAGCAACTGCAATAGCTCACTGTATGAATAGTAATCCACAAATTCATACTGATATAAGCAAATAGATGAATAAACAGTGGGAAAACTTTTCATTGCAGTGGAATGACAACTAAGGAAAGTAGAAGAAATGACGACTAGAAAAATACCACTTGCAGTAGTTTAACAATATGAAAATTGCCTGTGAAAATAACTGAACTAAAGTTTGGTGAGAAACATGTTAATAACATAATCTAAAAGCAGCGTGTGCAAATTCTTCATGTGACTCCTACAAATTCTTACAGTCAGGTCTGGTAGCAAAGTCTTACAATCCTAAGTATTGCAGAAACATGGCGATATAAGCCAGGACTGAAGGAACAGTTAAAAATACCTGCCTCTAAGTCTTCCGAAGCATCCAGGTAGTTCAGGAGAGACCAAGAGGCTGTTTTAGACTAAAGAGGGCTCAATGGACAGGACAAGTGAATGCAGTGTGCCATTCCTAACAAGATCATTTTGCATCAAGAAGAAACAGTGACAGATGAGCGAGGCCTATGAATTAGGTGGGAATACAGGCCTGTCAACTTTCTCACTCTGAAAGTTCACCATTGCATGAAGGAAGAATGACTGAAATGTTCAGGCCTATGGAATCCCAGGACTGCAACTGTCCTTCAAATAAAACAGGAAAACAAATTATTCGTGCTACGCCTGCCACTTCTATTTGAGTTTGAAATTACTTCAAACTAAAAAAACAAAACAAAACAAAACAAATCAAAAAACAAAACTAGATGTGGTAGCTCACACCTGTAATACCAGCACTCAAGACAACGGGCAGGTGATCTCTGTGAGGCTGGGACCAGCCTGAATTATAGAGTGAGACCTTGTCTCAAAGAAAATAAAATAATAAAAAAGAAAAAGCAATAAAGATACATAACAGGTTCTATGTAGGATTAAGTTTATCTCCAAAACATTTTACCAGCTTAGACTTCTCCAAGACTATATACAATAGGAAACCTGAATCAAAATTTAGTAAAACAAAACCAAGCAATTTTTCCTTCTATATAAACAGGCACACATGGGGCTGGAGAGATGGCTCAGCAGTTAAGAGCACTGACTGTTCTTCTAGAGGACCTGAGCTCAATTCCCAGCAACCACATGGTGGCTCACAACCATCTGTAATGAGATCTGGTGCCCTCGTCTGGCCTGCAGGCATACATGGAGGCAGACTGTTGTATTCATAATAAATAAAAAGGCACACATATTCCTCCACAAATTTATGAGCTCTTCTGAAGAGGGAAGGCAGGCGACAGGGACTATAACTATTTACACAGTCCACTTCCTGTATTCACTCACTAAATTCAAAATAAAGGAAAAAACAGCATAGAGGGTCCTTTTAGAAATATAAGGACAGAATTTCCAGCATCACCTTTAGAGTTTTACAATACGATATGCAGTTGGTATGAGAATTTTTCTGAAAATATGATCAATAACTCTCATATACCTAAAGAGAAGCACTACTTTATCCTTTGTGTTGGCTATTTTCACAAAAGAGTTAAATCCTTACTAGGATGCTACCTGGTGCCCTGACGCTATCTTTCCATCATTGTGGAGTTAAAGCCTTGAAATCTTTAGACAGCAGGGCTTTATCCTCCTTACCAGTGAACTCGTATTTGGCACAGGACATATCAATGGTTGGTTCTAGGTCAATGCTGGAAACCTTAGAGAGCCAGTCCCGAAAATCTTCAAACATAAGTTTCCTAGAAGTGTGAACAAAAGACAACTTGTTATGGCCATAGCACGGGCTCGAGCTGGAGCCATGCCGTCCCCAGGCTCTCTTAAGGTCACTTCCATTCTAGAGACCTATTCCCTCTTGCATGCACGGTGTCAAGTTCCCAGAGAAATAATGAAACTCCCCAGCTACCGTAGTGTCCGTAGTGCGCTGGCCCTGAGTCTCCTGCACTTCTTTCTCTGGCTATTTGCCCTGCTAAGTCCTCCCACACCAGCGCCGTGATCTTTGTGGTCGGGCACCACACCATTGTTACACTACCAATCGCCCACTGTCAGACCGCCTTTCCAGCAGGAAATGGGAAAACATAATTGCTTTTTCTTACACATTTTGTTTCTGACACCAAATAGGTGGAGTTTTCCCTGTTAACTATCTATTTTTGGAAACAATAAGGACACCTTAAAACTCAGCTCCATTTTTACACAATCTACAGGGCTCAGTCTCACAGGATTGACCCCACCTTTAGACCCAATAGAGGACTAACTCATGAGTTGCTCTCATGGGGTATAAACAGGAGGTCCCTACAGTACCCTCCTCAAGTTGGATCATTTGTTAGGTAATTTTTAACTTATTGTCTCACCAGTTTAATATAAAATGACACAACTCAGGGGTTGGAGAGATGGCTCAGTGGTTAATAGCACTTCCTATTCTTGCATAGAGCCTGGGTCTAGTTCCCAGCACCCACATCAGGAAGCTCACAACTATCTGTTCCAGAGGATCTAATGTTCTCTGGCCTCCAGGGGCATCTGTACACATAAGAACTCATCTAAAAACAACAACAATAATTTTCTTTAAAAAAAAAAAGTGATTCAATTTAGGAAGAGTCAAATATAAAAGATTCACAGCACAGAGTCCTGGATAGAGAAAATAGAACCTCTCTCCCACCTCCCTGGCACCTCGGGAACTTATGGACGCTTTCCTACATAGGCATGGTTGACTAAAGAAACCACAGGCCACTGGGGATGCATCCAGCCAACTGTCAGCCCTTCTCTGTGAAACAAGGTCCTCTTTGTAGGCTTGGCCTACAACATACTATGTAGCCCAGGCTAGACTCTAAAAGTTGTAGCAATCCTACCTCATCTAACTACCCTCCGTGCTTTTCCTGGAGGCTGGAATGGTTAGAGCTGAGAGCTACATTCTTAGTTATCTTCTTGGCAACTGTCCCTTCTTCTCCAACCTTTGGGGTTGCCCATTATAAGCTCAAATGTGGTAGAAAGGTTTTTTCCCTAACAAAAGAGTCTCCATTCACCTTTACTAATCTTAACACTTAAATTCTAAATTTTAGGAACTTGTTGCCAAAAATGGGGACGAAGATCAAATATGCATTTTCTGTTATAAATCTCAGTATCACAAGCACTAATCCTAATGCAGAGATGTGTCCTTGATCTTAGGAGATATATAATATATACACACATACATGTATGTATATATGTATTTTTCGAGACAGGGTTTCACTGTGTAGCTCTGGCTGTCCTGGAACTCACTCTGTAGATCAGGCTGTCCTGGAACTCACAGAGATCCACCTGCCTTTGCCTCCCAAGTGCTGGGATTAAAGGCATGCACCACCACTGCCAGGCTGAAATTAAGATTTTTGAATTATCTTTTTTCTAAATCCTGCTTCAGTTAAATCTACATGTGCATCTTTCCTGGCTTTTTTTTATTGTGTCCTTTCTAAAAATGTAACGGTGCCATGGGGAGGGTAGAATCCAACTGAGAACAGCTCTCTCCATTTCTGGGACATAACTGTACACAAACTTATTTTCCCATCTGATGTAGTTTATGCCACTTTTTTCTTCACAGACAATAAACTGGGTCAAGAGTAAGATGTGAGTGCTAGGGGCTCCAGTAACACTAGCACTGTTATTTAATAAACACTAGGGTGAGCAGCTGCAGAAGATCACAAAATGACCTTTCCAAAACTCTTATTTGTGTGTGCGTGTGCACACACAACACACGTGTGAAGGTAAGAGGACAATATGTGGAAATCATCTTTCTTCTTCTACCATGTGTGTACTGGGAATTGAAATCAGGTCATCAGTCTTGGTGGCAAGCACCTTTACCAGCTGAGCCAACTCACCGGCCCAAATGACTTAAATTATAATAAAGATGAATACTAAATTAATCACACAATCAACCAAACATCTGTAGATGTTCTGACGCTAGCAAGATGTAAATAAAAAAAGCTAATGAACATTTCCATTATAAGCTAAGCTGGTCCTTTGTGCAGAAGTCTCTTTAATACAAGTTATAACTAGTTCAGCCAGTCAACTCTGAAATGAAGTTAACTCTGATAATTAAAAACTTGTAGCTGGACATGTGGTACATAACTATAACTCCAGGCCTCTTCTGGCCTGCCGGCACACATGTAGACAGAACACTGTATGTATAATAAATATAATTTTTTAAAAAAAAATAAAGCACATGCTCATTATAGAAAAAAGGTTCTAAATAAGTAAAAAGAAAATGTTTTTAAAAGTTCTGTAATCCTATTAGTCTATTTCCAAGTCTCTCAGTTTGTACACAGATAAACAGTTTATGTCTGTAGTACACTCTTTCCTTTTGAAAACAGTATATTCCAAAGACCCAGGATGTCTTTGGTTATAATAACTATCCTCTTAGACATCCCTAAGGGGAGAAAATATTGCTAATTCATCTAGAAAAATAAAGCAACTATAGAGAACACTAGGTTTCAGATATTTTTTAAAAAGTATCGTTGACTTTCTTGACAAACAAAGTGTGACTCCTGTTTATTCCACACACGCACTCATGGCTGCAGAGTTGGTGTATGGAATCTTTGTGTACGTCTTTGCTTTGTCACGGTCAGTTCTTAGAATTACTTTTACAAAATGTGCATACTTTCGTGTCTAGAGAGATGGCTCTGGTTAAGAGCACCAGCTGCTTTTGCAGAGAACCTAGGTTCAGTTCCCAGAACCTACTTGGCAGCTCACAACCACCTGCAACTCCAGTTTCAGGGGCTCCAACATCTTCTGATGTCCATAGGTGATACTGCCTACATATGGGGCAAATGCATACATGCAGGCAAAACACCCATAAACACAATAATCTTTTTTGTTTTTGGTTTTGGTTTTTCTAGACAGGGTTTCCCTGTGTAACTTTGGAGCCTGTCCTGGAACTCACTCTGTAGACAAGGCTGACCTCGAACTCACAGAGATCCACCCGCCTCTGCCTCCCAAGAGCTAGGATTAAAGTTGTGCACCACCAATGCCCGGCTAATAATTATTTAAATGCATATTTTTAAGTGTTTTGATACATCATCTTCTAAAGGACTGAAATGGTATGAAAATTTATCTATCTGGTCAAGGGAGTTTTAATTTTCATTACTTCCTAGCTTCATGAGCAGACAATGCTATCTCCATTGTTACTTTGTTTCCTTCACAACAACAAAGCCAAACATTTTATTATTAAGAATTTGAAGCCAGGAATGGTGACTCATGTTTGTAATCCCAGCACTTGGTAATCTGAGGCAGGAGGACTTCTGTGACTTTCAGGCCAACCTGAGCAACATACATAGTACATCCTAGGCCTGCCTAAGATCCTATCCACAAGGAAGGGAAAAAAAGAAGGAAGGGAGGTAATGAGGGAAGGAAGGAAGGAAAGAAGGAAGGGTGATCAAGCAAGCAATCCAAGGGCTTGGATTTGTATCTGTTGGATTGTCTTAAAGAAGTTACTTAAATTTCTTAGGGTTTGTTTCTTCCTTTACCAAATGCAATCATGTCAACAAAGACTGGATGAATTAATATTTAAAGCACTCAGTACTCTGCCTAACATATATCTGGCACCCAACAAATGACTTGCTTACCTTAAAGCTGAGATATGAGGCTCTTTGCTTTTCTTCAAATCATCAGACTTCGTCATTAAAAAAAAAAAAAAAAAAAGATTTCCTTGTTACACCTTGTTACAATATATGGATGCAAAGAACAACAGTGAGGACTCTGATAGAACATTGTAGCTAAGCGCCTAGACTGAAGAGAACTACCAGGCCTGACACATAACCCCTTCATCTTGCAGCTATGATGTGGGTAGGTGACTTAGTATCTTTGCACCTTATTCATTCAGCAAATATTGAAGTATTTACTACAGAGAAGCTTACATTTGTTGAAGGAAACATATAGTAAACATAAAATGTAATTTATTAGCATAAAGGTGACAAGTGCATAAGAAAAGACAATAGAGAGAGGAGTGGGCAGTGCTGAGAATAGGAAAGAGTCTGCAATTATGAGTAGGTGAGCCATGGTAGACTTCAGTGAGGAAAAGCAAAATTTATCCAAAATACTGAGGCGAGACTAAGTGGCTAGGGGAAATGCAAATGGGAGAGCAACAGATGGTGATCAAGGGTCTAACGGGGGGGGGGGGGGGGCACTGTTGGCACAGAGCCAATTATGTACATTGGCTTTTACCCAAGGAAAAGAAGAGTCATTAGTTCTCAAGCAAAGGAGGAACATGAGGTAATATCTTAAGAGAAAAAGCCCCGTAGTACAGAATCTAGCATTTTAATCACTAAAAAATATGTAATTCCATGGGTTTCACACATTCATGATGCTGTCAAACATGCTACATAAGTCCAGGATTTAACAGTACAAAATAAAATCTAGTATCTACTAGGCAGTTGAATTCCATCTTTTCTACTACCAGCTCCTAACAAACATCACCCTGCTTCTTGTTTCTATGGGCCTATCTGCCTTTTCTGGGCATTTAAAAGAAATCATATAATACATAACACTTTGAGTTTGGCTTATTTTATACATTTATTTATATTTATTATAAGTTACGTGTATTACTGTATGTGAAAATGAGGTATGGCTGTGCCATGTGCACATGTGAAGGTCCCAGGACAACATCAGGGTTCAGCTCTCCCTTTCCACCTTGCTGAGGAAAGGTCTCTCTCGTTCCTACTGCTCTGCATACTTCTAACTGGCCCACAAGCTTCTTGTCTGTACCTCCGGTCTCACCAGAGGCTGAAATTACTTGCTACCATAGCTCGCTTTTTTATGTGGGTTCTGAACTCAGTGGTAACCATCTCAGCGATCCCAGAGCCACACTGGCTTCCATACTTAGCAAAATGTTTCTAAGGTTCATCCATGTTGCAGCTCTGACTTACTTTTTATGATCAAATAATATCCACTAGATGGGCAAACTGCATTTTGTTTACTCATTCATCAGTGGGTAATGTCTGGTTGCTCCTATAACAGTGCTTCCATGAGCGTCTGTGAGCAAGTTTTTATGTGGGCATATATTTTCCAATTCTCTCGAATTCACTTACATGACAAGAACAAAATGGTGACAGTTCCAGAAGCAGGTGGAGGTAGGAGACTGCTAACACACTGAAACATCACAGTAAGAGAGACAGCTTGGGAGGAGACTGCTGCTGACGTTGGAAGTGTATCAAGTGTTCTGAGAGGCAGTGAAGAAAGTGTCCTTAGTGGATGGGACACGAGGGGTGAACAAGGAGTTAAGAATGACTCATTTTGGGCTGGAGAGGTGGCTCAGAAGTAAGAGTATGGGCTGCTCTTCCAGGGGTCCTAGTTCAATTCCCAGCAACCACCAGGTGGCTCACAACCATCTATAATGAGATCTGGTGCCCTCTTCTGGCATGTAGGCACACATGCTAGCAGAACACTGTAAGCATAAGTAAATAAATCTAAAAAAAACTTAAAAAGAATGGCTCATTTTGATCTGAGTTCGAGAGGAACAACAGAATTAGAGGAAGGAGATTAGGAGTTTAGTGTTGGCTGTAAGCCAGAGACTCCTGCTACACATCCAAGGAGACAGAAGTTATGAGAGACTCCATGGAAATCTGTACTGAATCTTAATTCAGAGATCAAACCCTAGAGTATTCTGGCATTAAGAAGGCCTCATCAGGAAGTTGGTTATGTAAACTGGTGAGATGGCTAGGTGTGTAAAAGTACTTGTGTGCAAACATGGTGACCACAGTTTGATACCCAGAACCTACATAAAGGTGGAAAGAGAGGACCAGTTCCACAAAGTTGTCCTCTGACTGTCCCTCCCACCATGCCCTCCCAACAAATTAATTTTTTAAAAAATGTTGGTTATAAGGGAAAGACTTAGCAAAGAAAATTAAGAAAAAGTGCTCTATGATAAAGAAGATAAATTAAGAGAGTATGTGTAGGGCTGGAGAGATGGTTCAGCGGATAAGAGCACTGGCTGCTCTTCCAGAGGTTCTGAGTTCAATTTCCAACAACCATAGGATGGCTTACAACCATCCATAAGGAGAACCAGTGACTCCTTCTGGACTGCAGGCAGAACCCTGTATACATAATAAATAAGTAGGAGAGAGTGTGTGTAATAGTTTGAATGAGAATGGCTGACATAGGCTGATATATTTAAATGATTAGATCCCAGTTGGTGGACTACAGGGAAGGATTAGGATTTCCTTGTTAGAGGAAGTGTATCCCTGGGAATGGGCTTTGATGGCTCAAAAGTTCACACCATTTCTATTGTGGATGAAATCTGAGTTTTCAGCTACGGCTCCAGCACCATGCCTGCCTGCCTGCTGCCACACTCCCCACAATCCCCTGGACCTGTAAGCCCCCATTAAATGCTTCCTTCTATAAGATGCCTTGGTCATGACGTCTCTTCACAGCAATAGAAAAATAACTAAGGCAGCATGGTATCCTGAAAGGAAGATGAAAATATGGCTTTAGAAAGGAGGAGGAGTGCAAATGCTTCTAAAAGATCAAGGATTCTTTGCCTCTGAAGCATAGTAGGTGTTGTGTCAGTCTCATAAAACACATGTACAAGGTCTACACATTAGAGTAGGATGCTGTCAGCTGACCAGGTGACCAGCTCTAACAAAAAAGAATGAGATGTTAGTACTCTATTATTCGAGATAAAAATCAAAGGGGAAAGGCAAAGAAAGCAAAGGTAATTCTTCATCTACTTCATCATTTTTGAATTTTCAAAATATTTTGATTTTATTTTATGAGTATGGATGCTTTGTCTGCATGTAGGTCTGTGTATCGCATGGCCCTTAAAGGCCAGCAGAGGGTGCTGGATTTCCTGGGAGTGGAGTTATAGATGGGTGTGGGCGGCCATGTGGGTGCTGTGACTGGACCGCAGGCCCACTGGAAAGGGAGTCAGTGCTCTCAAGTGCTAAGCTATCTTTCCAGCCCTTTGTTGAATTTTTAAACTCTTGACAGACTATGAGAGTGCGTGATCCCTGTATTGAAGACGACTCCACATTGATGATACCACTCTCTTGTATTTCTGTGTGTAGCCCTGCTGTCCTGAAACTTGCTCTGTAGACCAGGCTGGTCTTGAATTCACCTGCCTCTGCCTCTTGAGTGCTGGGATTAAAGGTGTATGCTGTCACCACCTAGTAACGGCTGTCTTCTAAGAGTAGAAAAAAAATTTCTGATTTCAAGATAGCCTTTTTAAAAACTAAATTATACTGTCTACCAAAAAGAATGGGGAGTTGGGGTACAACTCAGTGACAGAGTGTGTGCTTAGTGTACTCAAGGGTTTGGGATCAAAACAGCATACCTACTCCCCAGAGGGGAAAAAAAATCATTTTCCCTTTCTGCTAGATACATTGTAATGCAGAATACTTGAACTGTAGCACATCAAACCACAAAGGCATGAACTCAAAAGTTTGAATGGTTATTATCTTCAAATAAAGACTCATGCCACACTACTCCAAATATACTTCACCCCCGTTTATTATATACTCACTCACTAGCTTAAAGCATTGAATATCCCATCACCATCATCTCTATTACCTTAGATGTTGGAGAGCAGAAGTTGCCAAAAAACCTCCCTTAAAACCATTGTAACAACTCCCTCATAATCCTAACAGTCAACACCCAGTAAGCAGCTTATGTTAAAGGAATGAAAATCAATGTCAAGGTGAAGGGTCTTGAAAACAAACCTAATCTAGAACCTTGAGTCTTAAAAAATGAGATTATAGGTATGTATTTGTATCTGTCTGTGAGCATGTGCAGATAGGTGCTCTTGGAGTGTGGTGAACCACGTGATGGGTCCTGGGACCTGAACCTGGGTCCTCTGGAAGAGCAGCAGTCATGAATGATTTTCGAGCCTCGGACTGTCCGAGGAGAAAGAGCTGAAGTAATAAGGATAAATACCTGCTGGAACTTATACAAATCATTGTACTTTTCATGGAAGTCCAGGCTCAAAAGCTCCTTCTGAAGTCCTTCCAGGAAGTCTTGGCTTTGGATGAAGTTTGGGATTACGCAGTGAAGAAAAGGATCCATGTCCAAGACAATAGCTTCTGTTGGAAGAAAAATATTTCCCTTGTCTTTCTTCTCCTCCATATTATACCACGTGGCATGACTGACTACAAAGGGAGACAATCAGGAGTTTGAGGAACTTAATATTTTGGGGAACCTAAGATTCAGAGAAAAATCATAAGTTGTGTCATTCCTCACGCATTCAAGACTGTCTTTCTCAGACGCTGGGCTTAAATTCCAGTTTTTAATGTGCAGAGTGGATAGCGCTAATGGAAGTTCTCATTTTCGTCTTTGTTTTTTGTTTGTTTTTAGTTTTTCGAGGCAAGGTTTCTCTGTGTAGCAGTCCTGTCCTGGAATTTGCTTTGCAGCCCAGGTAGGCCTCAAACTCAGCGATCTGTCCACCTCTGCCTTCTGAGTGCTGGGATTACAGGCGTGCACCACCACCACTCGGCTGCTCTTATTTTGTTGTTGTTTTAAGATTTTTAGTTTACTGATTCTTTTTTTTTTTTTTTTGGTGGTGGTATACCTTTTATTTTTTTTAAAATTTATTTATTTATTAAGGATTTCTGCCTCCTCCCCGCCACCGCCTTCCATTTCCCATTCTTGCATCAGTGCACTTTTGATTCTTTTTTTTTTCTTTAAAGATTTATTTATTGGGGCTGGAGAGATGGCTCAGAGGTTAAGAGCACTGACTGCTCTTCCAAAGGTCCTGAGTTCAATTCCCAGCAACCACATGGTGGCTCACAACCATCTGTAATGAGATCTGGTGCCCTCTTCTGGCCTGCAGGCATGGAGGCTGAACACTGTGTACATAATAAATAAATATTTATATAAAAAATTATTTATTATGTATACAATGTTCTGTCTGAATGAATCCCTGCCAGCCAGAAGAGGGCACCAGATCTCATTATAGATGGTCATGAGTCACCATGTGGTTGTGGGAATGGAACTCAGGCCTCTGGAAGAGCAACCAGTGCTCTTAACCTCTGAGGCGTCTCTCCACCCCTCTACCCCAACCCCAACCCATCGCACTTTAGATTCTTAGCTCATTTTCTCCAGAGCAAAGTGGCTGGCCATTTTCTCTTCAATCCTGCCCCTGCCCTTGCTTTCCCAAACTTTTCTGTGGGAGGAAGTGACTGCGTTTTAAAAAGGAAATAGGTCGGGCGGTGGTGGCGCACATCTTGAAACCCAGCACTTGGGAGGCAGAGGCAGGTGGATCTCTGTGACTTCGAGGCCAGTCTGGTCTACAAAGCGAGTTCCAGGACAGGCTCCAAAGCAACAGAGAAACCCTGTCTCAAATCCACCCCCCGACTCCCCAAAAAAAAGAAAATGAAAGAAATATCAGTTTGATTTCTAACTTTCTAATCGACCTCACTTCCACTAGAGTATCAATTTATGACTAACAACCAAGCCTGACCCAGTGGTGCTTTACAGGAATTGTCTCATTTACCTTCTCAACAACTGAGGGATATTTGTCGCCTATGCAACAGATGAGGAAACTGAGAAGTCTCTAATGAGCACCCAGAGCTTGCATTTTAAACGCTAAGCTCTCATGTTCTCTCTGCGTCCAGCGCGCCCAGGATTCGACTCTTTAAAACGAAACAAACAAACAAGAAAACAAAACCAAAAAAAAAAAAATTGGCAAACTTGGGGAGAAAATTCAAGACGCACTCAGCAGATTCGCACTGTATTTATAAGTTGTATAAATAAGTTGTAGCTAAGTCTGGAACGATTCCTTTCAAGATCCTTTCGTTTCATGCGTCACGTAGGCCAATGACAATGCACGTGAAAACTGGTACCTGGAGGTACTAGCTATCCCGCAGCTCTCAACGTCTGTGCTGGTAGATCGTCCGTCCGGCGACACTTGCTAGATGTTTACTGGTTCTCAGGGAAACTCTTATGAATGTCTACAAGCATTAGTCTGTCAGTCCTACCTTTCCGAGGGGAATTCTATTAACGATGCCGTTTTATAAAAGAAACTGACGCTTAAGCAAAGTTAAACGCACTGCCCAATGACGTACAACCAACCAGCAGAGGGATTCTATAAGTGACCCCTGATTCTAGAACTCAACCCTGAGTTTACTTCCCCACACTCCCAGGTCTATATTTATTTTCCTCCCGAGGCTAGTCAAATCAATCGAATTTGGAAAGAACCGAGCAGCAGTCGGGGCCGGAGTCGGAGGTGGCTTGTGGTCCTTCCCTCGCCTCTCCTCCCTCACAGCACCCCATTACCATGGCTGAAGGGCGTCCGGTGGCTCCAGGCTTCAGCCACCTGCTTCTTCACTGTTTCTTCCGTGACAGCGTCCGAAAACTCCGCCGCCACCTGCTTCTTTCCCTTCTTCATTGGCCGAGCTGGGCCAGGATCCGCTGGCCGCTTCCCGTTCATCTCCTCACCATTCACAGACCCACGCTCAGGGAAGTCAGGAAGCTATTTCCCTCCAGAAACTACAGTTCCCGAAATGCCTCACTCCTTAGTCCCAGCATCACCCAATGGGAAGGCACCAAAGAATAAGAAGGCCAGACCTATACATAATTAACCAATGGAAGGTCAACATACTGCGCCATTCTGCCGGCGATTGGCCAAATCATGGCTGTGGCCTGCCCCCTCCAGCAACACTTCCTGCCGCCAGAGCCTATTCACTTCCGGTGGGCATTCGGCTCCTCTTGCTCTCGACTGTTAATGGCGGGCGGCGGCTTTTGAGCGGGACGCAGATAACCGCTGCCCGCCCTGCGGACGTCTCCCCTGGCCCCCGCTTTCTGCACGTCGCCAGTGTCGGAGCTGTTCAGCATGTCTGTGGTGCCGCCGAATCGCTCGCAGACGGGCTGGCCCCGGGGGGTCAACCAGTTTGGCAACAAGTACATCCAGCAGACCAAGCCCCTCACTCTGGAGCGCACCATTAACCTGTAAGTGCGGCGAGGCCTCCGAGGGCAAACCGCTTCCCGAACGCCCTCGCTCACCCGGTTTGCGGGATGTCCCTCCGGGATGCGCGCTTCCCTCTCTCCCCGACCTCCTTCTCGCCCCCGATTTGGCAGTTTGCCTTTGCATTTATTCAGTCACGGTTAAAACCCACATTTGCTTTGAATTCATCACAATGTGTATGTTCTTTGAATCCTTTGTTGGTGTTTTCATTGCACATGTATTTGTTTTTATTTGAAATGGGTAACTATAATTTTGTAGGGTGTCCTTTTTTTTTTTTTTACAGTAAGTTTTCCAGATTTACCTCTAAAGGCGTAGGGTTTTCTTTAAGTGTTGCGTAGTATTCCATCAAGTGACCACATTTTCATTTTCGTGCTGTCTAGTCTACCTCTTGCGTTCGTATGTCTTGTCTACTGAAGTGACATTAGCATCGCAGGCACCCAGTAGACCTAGATTGAGAGTACACGCTTTGTTTAGGCTGTTGGAGGTATCTTACTTAATTGCCTAGAAAGCCTATTTGCAGGCAGGCCCCCCCCCCCACCTTCCTCTTAAGCAAATATTGCTTTTCGAGATCTCTCTTTAAAAAAATGTGGCTGTAGCAAGAAGTCAGGATTGGGATACAGTTCACTCAGTATTTGGTATCGCCCTGCCCAGTGTGGAAACATGGCCAGTTTAGGCTGGTTATGTGTTTAAAAAGTGCAAGACTTTGTTGATTGCGGTGTTCTGGGTAAGTCGTAGTGTTTCTCACTTTCGTATTCAATAAATGAACTTTTCCTTCTAAAACCAAGTGTGACATGAAATTGAAAAGATACTATTACTGTTTTTGTTTTTTTTTGTTTTTTTTTTTTTTTGGCAAAACAAGTGCTGGCTCGAAAACTTAGATAATAAAATACGAGGAGGTTTATAAAACCTGGAAATAGCCGATAGTGGTGTCTATACAAATCAACTTTTGTACCAAAATATATAGTAGTACTATAATTTCCTGTCACATGTTTATAAGATTCCTGTGAAATGGAGAAGGCAAGTGCTGTTTAAAAGAATGAGCGAGCACAGGAGGGGCTTGCTAACTGGCAGAGCGTTTGCCTAGTGTGTGCAAGGCCCCAGATCCCATCTCCAAGCACCTCAAAATGTGAAAACTGAAAGCACAAGTTCTGCATTCCTTTTGTGATAGGCCAGGATTGTGGGTTTTTTATATCCTTCCCTTGGTTCCTGGATCAGCTTACATCAGGCCATTGTGCAGAATTGTTGAGTAGCTGTGCTTTCAGAGATGTTTTTCAGGTGAGCATGTTACTTTTCCTGTGTCAGTGCAGTGTTGAGAAATAAAGTGCTGTGAACGTGAATTCGCCTGGGTGAATTATCTATTAAATGAGAAGCAAATCTTTGTTTCTGCAGTGTATTTTCATTTAGGCAAAACCAGATGGGTGGCTTTTGTGCACATGTGTGCATGCGGATGGCCAGATGTCCAGATGAGCAAGTATGATGGATGCACGCAGTGAAACGCTCACTGTGATGTGGAGAATGTGCTCTATGTGGGCTGCTACTCAGATTTCACAGCCGGAAAGTCTAATGTTTCATTCTGCTGAGATCTTGTGATGTAGGAGATAGCCATTGTAACAGAAATAGTTTGTGTCTGGTCTTAATTCTTTCTAACGCAAGTTAGGAAAACCAAACATTAGCACACATAAAGCAGTATATAAAGCTATGTGTAGTAATTCTTCCTAATAATGATGGTATTAGATTCATTATTGGATCTACTGCAGAGTTATCTGTAGTCTTTAAAGACGCCTGAAAATGGCATATTTTCATTATTTTAGAGTCACTTGGTGCTTAGAATTTGACTTCTGGAATGTTTTTCTTTTGGTTACCTTGATTGCCCTTTTCAAGAACAACTGAGGAGAGTATGTTGTTGCCTATTAATATCAAGAGTTTTGTATGTGTTGCCCACGGGTGCTATATGCATTCATGCAGATGTGTGCACTTGTAGATGTGTGTGTGTATGTTCACAGCATTTGTGACTTTGTGTATGTATCTGCACACGTGCGGAGAAAGTCAGGACAGAGTGTCAGTTCTCATCTTCCAGCTTGTTTGATAATACGGTCTCTGATGGGATCTACAATGGGAACCTGTTGGGCCACCATGTTCATATTTGGTCTGTTTGGTGCTAGTTGAGTGTTTGTTTTTGCTGGGTGCTGGTGATTGAATTTAAGTTCTCATGCTTCCTTGATAAGCACTTATTGGGGGAGGGGATAAATGAGGGGATTAGCCATGTTCAATTAAAACATTCTTTCTGAAAAATAAACTATAATCAAGGGGCTGCAAGTTAGAATGTGTGATAAAATATGAATGTGGATTTTAAACCTTAAGGAAAGTTTGATCTTTACTAAGCAAGATGAGCTTTTTAGCACTTTAAATCTTATTTTAGATTCTGGATCAGGAAAAGAGGCTATTCATCTTAGATATGGGTAGAAGAGTAAGTATACTGGATAGGGTAAATGCAGAAGCCTTAAGAAGTCTCAGAGGGAAAACGAAAACAGGTCTAAGCCACTGTAGTGCTGTGTATCCTTAGTCCCAGCACTTAGGAGGGAAAGACAGACAGATCTCTGTGCTCAAGACCAGCCTGGTCTACAAAGTGAGTTCCAGGCCAACTCTGTTTCAAAAATCAAGCAAGCCAGAGGAAGAAAAAAAAGTTAATCTGAAAAGGAACTAGAAAAATCTGAGTATTGCTAACTGGGAGAAACAGAAAATTGCAGAGGGATCAGTGAGGTGGCTCTTCAGGTAGAAGTGCTTGCTGCCAAGATTGATGATGTGAGTTCAATCCCCAGAACCCACTTGGTAAAAGGAGAGCACAGACTCACACAGGTTATCCTCTGACCTCTGTACACATGTCATAGAACACCATATGTATGCGTGTACAAAAACACATTTTTTAAAAATTTAGAAGAAAACAAAGGAGATGTTAACAGACAGTGGTGGCTCAGCATATATGAGAAAAGAGATTGGCTATTAGTGTCATTTAGTTAATAGAATTTATAACTAGGTTAATCAGAAGAATCAGGTTGGTTATTTGGTATTAGTGTCATGAAATGATCTAAAACCAGTATGGATATCCACTTTGATAAGCATTTCAGGGGCCTTAGTAGGACAGTGCTGTCTGTGATTGACACATGGAAGTTCTGGCTTCAAGAGTCCAGACAGCAACAACATTCTGATCTTTGCTATCTCCTAGCTGGTTATGAAGCTTTGGGCTAGTTGTCTTTGAGCACAATGTAGCTTTGACCTCCTGTTTTGTTTAGTTTTAGACAGGGTTTCTCTGTGAAATAGCCTTGGCGGTCCTGGAACTTGCTTTGTAGACCAGGCTGGCCTCAAACTCAGAGATCTGCCTGACTCTGCCTGAGTGCTGGGATTAAAGGCGTGCACCATCACTACCCTGAGACCATGGTTTTGTTTTTTTTTTTTTTTTTAAATGTTATTTTGAACTGTTCTGGTAAGTAAGACCATCTGTTCTCATGCTAAACGCTTGTCTTTGCTTCACAGGTACCCACTTACCAATTATACCTTTGGTACAAAAGAGCCCCTCTATGAGAAGGACAGCTCTGTTGCAGCCAGATTTCAGCGCATGCGGGAGGAATTTGATAAAATTGGGATGAGAAGGACTGTAGAAGGGGTTCTGATTGTACATGAGCACCGGCTACCCCATGTGTTACTGTTACAGCTGGGAACAACTTTCTTCAAATTGTAAGTGGTGTTGGACATTTTAGCCCTTTCAATTTAAACAAATATTGTGAAAGAGTCTTGAAAGAAAACAGTCATGGTTCTTCTCCAGTGTAGTGCTTATTTCTTTTCCAAAGAAGATATCTGCATTTTTGTTGGACCCTAGACTCCAGTCACCGAGGAGGAGTCTCCTCAAGAAACCATCTCTCACACCACAGCTGATATAAAAACATAAGGATTTTATTAATTCTGTCATGACAGGGTCTTTCAGCATTCGAAAAGGCAGAAAGACCCTGAATGGCTGGTACAGGATATTTTTAAAGGAAAAAAAAAACACAAAAGGAAGGGGGTTTCTGGGGGTTGTTCTTTAACTATTATGATTGGCTTATTCAAAAGGGCTATTATCAATAATTGGCTGGAGAGTGGTTGCCAGATCAGATGAGGTTAGGGGGAAACATCTGAGGGTCACTTTGCCCCTTTCCCAGGGCCTGAGTTAAAACACCAGGAACTGAGTCAACACCTAAGGGTTATCTTGCCCCTATTCAATAACTGAGTTCTATTTGGAGAACATTCACAAGGGCTCAGGGAGATGATGGAAAGTTCCCAACATTTCAGTACGTATATGGGCAATTTGTTAGGTCCTTGTTTCCCAGGGGAGGTGGGGAGCATTACTGCCAAGAGGCCTCAAAGTTGTCAGAAATGGCTTCAGAGTTC